AATATTACCCGGCCTGAAGCCGTCAGTCCATAGTGACGAAGTTACCTTCGTCATATTTCCTTCCCCCTCTCCCCAGGAAGCACAGTGTCTTTACAGTCTCGGCTTCGGGACAACCAGTCAGCCACCCGGTTTCAACGCCGCCTCCTCCGCCACCTCCAGCGGGACCAGTGAAGCCGTTGTCAACCATGTCGTGATGCCACTTATCCGGAAGCTGTTTTGTCCTGTTGTAATGCGTTGGTCTGCCTCTAGCACGACCCAGGTTCTGTCGACTCCTCGTGGGTCCGGGTCCGCCTCCTCGGCATGCAAACGCTGCTCCTCCTGCTTGTCTCTCGTCTCCTGCTGCTTGTCTCTCGTCTCCTGCTGCCTCAACAGCCGTGGCCCCCTGGTCCGTTCCAGGCATAGCCACCCCCAGCCGCGGTTCCTCTCTTTGGTCCCTCTTCTTTCCTCTCGCAATTTTCACCTCCTTACTTGGTCAAATCCCACTTCTGACACCAATTGTGAAGCTGACCGTTGAGCGGCCCAGACCAAGCAAGGAGGCAGAGGCAGAACGTCCAAAAATATAACCCGACGAGGGCATTTATTAAAATCATGTGCACAAAGTTCACAGCCTCAATCCTGCTGTTCTCCTTGCACACATCCTGCAGCCACAAGGATCTCACACACACTACCAGCCTCTCAACAGACAGGGAAACAGAGCCTAAATACACACACTCTAATCAGCACAACAAGACACAGGTGAGGGGGGAGGAGACAACACAGGACACCAGGGCCCTTTCTCATTTCTCTAACTCCCCTCCTCGATACTTAGTCCCGCCCACAGGAGATGCGAGCCGAGGAGCCGAGGAGGGGAACCGAGGAGAGAGGAGGGGAAGCAGCAGGCGGTTAGAGAAATGAGAACTCCTCTCCTCTGAGCGGTCATTTTAAAGAGACGTCCATTAATGATGACAGGAGGCACAGCAGCCCTCTGTCTGATAGACAGATGTGTTCATGACGACTTATATATTTACTTTGATTCATTCACAGTGTGGTATAATGAGACAATAACAGGCTACAGATGCGGACACACACACACCCCCCCTCTCCCTTATGGTCGCTACAATGAGGAATATAAATTACGGGCCAAAAGTTTTATTTACAAGTATTAAAAGTAAGCAGAGGACACCAAACCAACTGAGACCTGTCTGTCTGCTGCATCTATGCACACACTGTACCACACACACCTACACCACACACACGCACATACAGTTCCTAAAACAGGCTACAGCCGTTGTGTATTTTATTGTGAAGCACTAAATGGTTTTAGAAAAATATCGACTCTTTGTAGATATACTAAACTAAAGCAAATAAAAAGAGTAGGCCTGTTATACTGAGTGATATATATTATACACACTGCTCTGCTTTCTGCACGGACCTCACAGCTGTTCTCTCTGTAAACATCGCGTCGCGATGAAAGCAGTTAATAAAATAATATCCAGGGGATGCATGCAGAGATGTCATTGGCTGAGATAAGTCCGGCCGTGCGTCACGACTCTTTGAAACATCTCTGTTGCCGGAAATGCATCCACGAAGGAGCCGTGGAGGACCGTGGAGGACCCATCAGTGTATCCTCGGTTAGAGCTCCTCCAGAGAGCCTCCTCGACGCTCGATCCTCGGTCCTCGAAGTGCATTTAGAGAAATGAGATGTCCTTCAACATGGCGCGCTGAAATTCATTTCCGGGTCACTACCGGAGGACCGAGGAGTCGAGGAGTCGAGGAGTCGAGGAGGGGGATTTGATGAAATGAGAAAGGGCCCAGGTGCACACAATCATCAGCCACAGACATCAACATATTATTTGCACCCTGATTACTCTCAACCGCTGTCATCCTTACACCAGTATAACTACTCTCGGCTCTCTCAAAAACTCCCCTATCTTTTCAGGCGGAGCCGAGGACCCGACCAGCACCTGCCAGACAACATTCCAATAAATACGGCTTAATCAGTTAAATGATACTACCTCAATAATTAGTATGAATTATGTGCAAATATGTAATGTCAACTGTACTGTGCAATCACGCTAATAAAGTGCAAAATTACCCGGCCTGAAGCAGTCAGTCCATAGTGACGAAGTTACCTTCGTCACAGGGGGCATAACAGGTTGGCGTGTAGATTGTGTTCCTTACAGTTTGAATGCAGTCATTTGGCAAAGAAGGCCAGAGCTTCATGAAGTAATAATCCTAAAAATTTAAACAAATGTATGAATAGTCGACACTGTGGCATCTGGCTGTATTATTAGTTCAGGCAGACTTACTCACCAAGCACGATGTCTAGAGTATAAATGAGAAACATCAACAGTGTAAGTGGTGTACATTGATGCACCTGACAGCCTGTGAAGAAGGACCTGAGTCTGTGAGGACAGGATTATAGGCTGCTGCAGTACAGATCCCATTTCATGAACCATCAAGCAGCAGAAGTCCTCTGGGCAAGAACACCTCTCCTCAAGAGGAGCACTGATGTGAAAACTTAAGGAGCTCAAATGAGGCCTCCCGGATAACTGTGTGAACTGTTGACAACCTGGAATAATATCTGATCTGTCAGTTTTACAAAGCCACATAGGCCGACAATCAAATATCAACCAAAAATTACATTTATCCGAAGAAGTTGTTGTGCTAAATACAAGAAAACTAAGGAAGAAGATGCAACACAATAACATAATAGACTTGTGGAGCTCATACTCTGTAGGCTACTGAGACACTGCAGTGTCTTGAGCTAAATGCTAACATTAGCATGCTAACGTGCTCACAATGAAGCTACTAATATGCTGATCAATGTATGTATGTATGTATACATATGTATACGTGTATATGTGTGATGTGGATGGATGTATACCACTGTACTTTAGATTGTTAGCATGCTAACATTACTTAAGGACTCAACTCAAACACACTAACAGCTGCTGATGGGGATGCCCTTTTTCAGATATTTGGTTATAAACCTGTGTAAACCAATCCTTTTGCAAATGTAAACTTTGACATGATGGTGGTTTCTAGATGAAAAGTGAGAGGGTCACCAAAGTGGTAATATTTCATTCTTAGGGGAAAGACATGAACAACATTTCTTATAGCATCCATCCATAGACATTTCACTCAAAACCACTTATGTAGACAACATGGTGGCGCTAAAAGTCAGGGAATCACAGAGTCAGAAAGGATTCCTCCTCAGAAAATAGAGTCTGGACCAAATAGTCGACCAGCTTAATGAATCACGTATAGCAACACAATTAGCATATTAGCATGAAAACAAAAAAGTATAATTGCTTGCATATATTTGTCAAAGATCTCAGTATTGAACGATTTTTATAAAAGGGACACTCTATAATATATCTCATCTAACAGATGTAACGCTGACTTCAGAATTATTAATCCTCTCTCAGTATACCACTGAATGCAAATTCAGCAAAAGAAACATAACTTTAGATACAAAATGATATTTTTTACAGGAATAATGTTTTTAATAGTCCAACATATACAGTAAAGACAGATAACACATTTCAAATGTGCTGCTGTGCCATCGTGTAGTTTATTTTGGGCTATTTCCCTTTTTAATTTGTCACATGAGTAACTTAATCATGACTCTCTTAACAGATAATACAATAGGTAATAAAGGGGAAACTTAATCAACATTTGTATTGATTAACACAAGCCTGCTCTCTTATTGCATTGCCAGGTCACATACTCAGTGCATTCACTGCTATATTAAGATACGTCACTTTGAATCCATCAACCATCTATTGCAGGGCTAAATGCACCATGGCATAGATTGTAGAAGTGGAAAGCTGTGTGTGTGTGCATGTGTGTGTACGGACATACTGCAGAGACACACCCCCTGATACACCTCTGCTGATGCCAAAAGGAAGTCCTCATTTGGCTCACACACTTAGGAGTGTCCCAGTCATGTACTCATAACACCCCTAGGGAATCAGGCAAGCACTGCACCACCTGATCTGTTCACACACTGCATCATAATCAGCCCAGGGACACACAGTACAAACACAGAGCAACATGGACTGTGGCTGAATATAAAATATTTCTTAAATCGATAAGAAAACAGAGGAATATCCACATGGGAGATCTATGTGAGGCCAGATAAAGAAGGGGGTTTGCTTAAATGACAAGAAAATGAAACAAAGCTTAAATGTCCATCAGAGGCTGTAATGCGCAACATTTAACAAAAGCTTTATCACCGTCAAGGGCATTTTTTTACTAAAACATATTAAAAGGAAAGGTTGTAATGGACTTGGCATACATTCATTTGCGTAACAGATGCACATAAGCACAGTGAGCTCTGCAGACGTGGGCCCTTCACTCCTGCTGGCTCAGCAGATTTGACTTTGCACACATTCCCCTCCAAGCTTTTACTGTATTAAGTGTGAGTGAGCAGCCTCTCGTCCTCCATCAAGTCATAGTAAAACACAGGCAAATAAGACCCAGTCAAGAAACACAAATAAAAAGTGAATGTAAATCAGTTACATATTGTCCCAAAAAATACTTATTTTCTATCGGCATGTTTACCAGTAAGTAAAATCAAATCTAGTATTTCTCACTTTCAATGAAATTCCTCATGTCAAGATTATGATGAAAAATGAAAAAGGCTGTTTCTGTATAGTGCAAAAAAAAACAACATCCTAAGTTCTACCCTTACACACATTTGTGTTTTAATATGTAACATTGCACTGCAGCACTACATGATGAGGTGTGAGGACTGACCGGCATACTGTAAAAGTTCCTTCTTTGGGCAGATTTGATCATATTTCAAGACTCTCAGAACTAAAATGAGAGTCGACTGGCAAAACGCTTACACAGTCTGCTCTAATTACCCCTGAGACATTTATTCCATCTTTCCGCCTTTCTTTTCCTATTCAGACAGGATGTGTGTAATGAGGCTAGGTGCCTCTGTGACAACCTGGCACGCAGTAACTGATGATGCAGTCTTGGACAGGAAAGGAACAAATAAAGCTGCTTACCTTGAAGAGAGAAGTGCTGCCTCCTAAACACTGAGTGGAAGCAGAGAACAGGGTCAGGTATGCAGGAAGAACAAAAAATCTTAACAATCTGCACTTTGGTTCATCCCACTCTCACAAGACATCTCAAACCCCCAGAGGCAGAAGGTCCCAGTTTCACCTGGGGGTGTTTCTGTCCAAAAATCAGACACTCTAATGAGACTTTTTTGGCTCAAAGTGCTGCTGACGTGTGCTCAGAAGAGGCAGAGAGCAGAAGAAACACTCGCACAGATTAACATTGTTCTAACACACTGAAATCAGCACAAGCATCAGAGCCGGTGCAGTTCCACTGCTGTATTTCCCGGCACTGTTCGCTCATTGGCTGAGGAGCTACTCAATAAAAACCCTGCTTGTCATCAATTGGGTATAGAGGGGAGGGGGTAAGATTTTCTGTGGCGCACTAACAACAGTGCTCCTCCTCTTTTCTTTCTTGCTCCATCACTTTTTTCTCTCAGTACAGGCAGCTAGGGAGTGCTGAGCTTTGAGAATTAGCAGGAGGAAAGGGAGGAAGAGAGCGAGGGGAGGGAGGAAAGTGAGAGGGGGAATCGATGAGTGGTGAATGGAGAGGTGAAGATGCTGACCGGCAGTCTGCAAAGCTGGTTTTTAGATCCTTCTTGTGCATCCCTGCTGCAGGAGCTCTGCAGGAACCTGAGGGCAGTGAGGTGTGAGGACCAGAGAGGATAGAAGGAGAGGGGGGGGGGGGGGGGGGGGGTTGTTACCGGTCTGCTCGGGCTGGTTTTGCTGCAGTAAAGCGGCAGGGCAGACCACAGATGGGAAGTTGTTTTCTTCTGTATTTTTCTCACCAGCAGCAGTTGCTGTAGAGCTCCAGCAGACTCAGCAGACTCAGCAGCATAAAGAAGGCAACTAGTTCCTCCCTTCCTTGTTTACAGGCATCCATCATGTAACTAGTGAATAATTTAAAAGAGCAGAAGGTGGGATGAGCCACAGGATTGACGGATCACTGCTCCTGCCTCATTAGGATGACGGCACATAACAGACTTGTCTAATTAAAGAAAGTCAAGCAGGACTCGCACTGGGTGTTAATGCTGCCTGTAGACACAACATTCAGTTCAATACATTTAACATGTTTTTTTATCATTTCTTTCAGGATTTGGGCATGTTAATATTTTTAAAGAAAAATGATGTAACTTAACATATTTGTTGGAGCATTTTTTTCTCTTGTTTTTGCAAATTAGCACTTAACACAAAGTAGGCTGCAGCTAAAACTGATGAGAATATACATTTTCAGGTATTGGCTCATACATAAAAGTATCAAATAATGGCACCTAATTAAAATTCAGATGATAACCAAAGTGGTCCCACAAAATTCACTTCAATAACTAGACATTTAGATGTTTTTTTACCATTTATTTTAGGATTTCTTCATGTCAGGTGATCTTTTAGAAAAATATTTGTTATCTAACATACTTGATGGAACATTTATTAGTTCCCTTGTTTTAATTCCCTTCCAATTTAACAACTCAGTGCTTTAATTCAATTAAACAGACTTAATGAGGTCTCATTCTGCATCTGAAATCAATAGACTACCCGAGTCACTGGACAGATGGGGAGAGCCGCATCACACTGCAGGTTTCTCCGGGGAAATCCATACGGTATGTGGCTGGTTTGTGGGAATCACTGTTTACCTCAGCTACTGTAGAGTAACATATAATCATCTCAAAATGTGAAAACAATTCCTTAAACTTTACATAACAGTATCACATCCTCACACAACCTTTACTGCACAAGCCCAAGCAAATGAAAAGTGCAACATTTGTTAATGAAAAGCAATGACAGGGCAGCAGGGAGAGTGCCAGTTTCACCATTACACTTATTAAACCTTCCGGGAATGTTGCCAAAATCTCTGCAGCAAATAGCAGCCAGACTCCCTTCAAGAAGGACACAGCATTTCATTGCGTTACCCTTGACATAACACAGGCAGGCTGTGCTCAGTGCATTACCAACGAGTAGACCACCACAATGAGTCAGAGATGCTGCATCACTGAAGCATCCTCTTCTTGAACGTTCCATCCCGCTGTGCTCATTAGCTTCCCACTCAAGGGGGGAGTGGTGATAGAAAAGTTTTGATGGGATCCAATTCAGCCAGAGGATATTTTGAGATTGCCTTGTGCTGGACTTAATAACAATAAATGAAACAAAAACACAGATAATTCAGGATAGAGAAGATAATATGTGAGCCTGAAGCAACTTTCATAAAGGTGAACCAGGAAGACTAATCCAATCCATCCAATCCAACTTTATTTATATAGCACTTTAAAACCTTCAGACCAAAGTGCTGTACAGAGAGATAAGCTCACACAACATAATATAAATACATTTAAAATACAAGATACAAACACAAAACAAACCAGAATAAACGTAATAATTAAAAAATAAATAACAGCCATAAAAACAATAGACCACTGAAAGCAAATAAAAGCAACAATCTACTTGTTTCTGAGTGCTAAGGAGAAGAGGTGGGTTTTAAGACGGGATTTAAAAGCAGACAGTGTGGGAGCCTGTCTGATGAGCAAGGGCAGGTCGTTCCACAATAATAATAGTTCCATAATGAGTTTCAATTATGAAATGTAAACAAAATAGTTAACATAACAAATGACAGTAATAAAGAAATACTGCTCACATAACGTGTCTGCCTTCTGGACCTTTGTCAGTAGTGTTTTACTGAATTATCACAATCTTAAATAGATTATTATACACTACTCCAACCACTATGTGTGATCAGTGTGGCACAATTATCATATCCCTCAATAATTAACGGCATAGGACAGGACCAATATGTATCTGTGCCTTGTAGACAAAAAGAAGATCTACAAGTGTATTGTTGTGACGGATCTACTTTTCCCAAGACGCAAAGCATGAATCTGAGATAGTTTGCTGTGCAAAAATCTCCTCTGAAAAACAAGTGTGTTGACAGGCTAGCATTTGCTAATTAGCACTAAACACAAAGTAAACTAGTCTACAGCTGATGGGGAAATCGTATTTTTGTCATAAACACAAGTATTGGCTGCATACAATGGATGATGATTCAGATGATAACCAAAGTACACGAAATGATCAATGTAAGTGTATAGGATTTTATGACAATCAGTGTATTAGCTGTTAGCTTGCTAGCCAAAAACAAAGTTCCCTACAGTAAGTCTGCAGGACTTTGTCTGGGGACCATGAACATCTGCGCAATTCATCGAATACTTTAGTCTGGAACTGCGGTGGACAAACCCAGCAACAAATAAACATTGCGGGCACTTGCATATTTCATATATCTGCTCAAATACAACTCCAAAAACAAAAAATAAATAAAAAAGAAACCTAATTAATGAAAACCAAAGAAGAAAAAACAAAGTCAAGGCAACTGTAATACATCTATACAATTCAAAACATACATGAATTCACTTTCCTACATTATATTTCAGTAAAATAAATTATGGTTGTCATTAGAGGTTTGAAACTTTCTCATGTGCAGCCAGGACCTAAATTAGACAGAGTCTCTTGCTCCATGACCCTATTGCAGCAAGTCAGCATCCAGGGAGCACCATAACTAGGGCTGAGACCCATTATGGCTCCTAGCCCACAGGTTAAAGCAGAATGACACAAATTGATCAAGTTTAAGGCTTAGCTACAATGGCAGAGATATTGTGTCAAAAGATCGTAAATCAAATGGAAAGTTAACCATGTTGATCCTCCTTTTCTTGTTTTGTAGAGGTAGAATCTTATTAATGTATTTTTAACAAAACTGCTCTTTCAATCTTCCCATTAACACAAGGCCTGCAGATGTCATTGTTCAGATGTAACACTAGAGGGCGCCACACTCAAATGGACTGTAAAGCTGGGTCACTCACCATGCAGCTCACTTCCTAACTTTCTCCACAGAACATCTAGGGGTGTAGCCTACTCCTGAAAAACTTGATTGCTGTACAAAATCTGCAACCAAAATCTGAACATGGTCGTGTGAGGGAGGGACACTTTGTTTTCTGATAAAACACTGAAATTCAATTTCTTCCCCATTTTCCTTTGTGATTTCTAAATATATATATTTTTTTCTAAGGGAACATACAAGCACATTTTACCGGTCGTTCCCCAATTAACCATAGCGAGATGAAGGCTAATTTTGTCAGCCTATGTGTGAACCCCTGTGTTTTTTAAACCTGGATATCTCTGGCCTCCTGCCCTGCATCACTATGCCAGTAACTCCACGTCCAAATAGCTACAAGATCAGGATTAGACTGGTATGAATATTATGGAAGTCCTGGCATACTGTGATGCACTCATGGGTCAGTACGAGCCAATTTAATTGAGCTGTCTCTAAACCCGGGTGCTGCCAAAGGGGCTACACATGTTCAGCAGGAAACAGACTGTTACTTTAGGGATTTACTCAATTTTGAGATACAGTAGCTTTCTGCCCTAGAGCAGCCTGTCAGAAGCAGTGCTTAATGCATTTTATATAAAAGTAAACTATGAAAGTATTTATTTGTAACTCTACTAACTTCAAGAGGAGTTTACTTTAAACCGAAGTAAATATCAGTTTATTATTCACTTATTATTGGAGGATGTACTCGTTATAAATATTGTATTGTGTGCATGTGATTTTGCATGTTCAATGGATACATGGATGTCTTCTAGTTTAGCGCCAAATGACATCATTCTAAGGAATTTTAGGATGAATAGGGAATATATCAGAAATTACACATTATAAAGTGTTATCAAATTCTTGAACTTCAGCTTTAGCTAATTTAAATCAATATAAATCAAAACTACGATAATAATAACATTTATATAAATTAAATGCAAGATTGTACATTTTTAAAAGCATTTTATTAATTTATTATTAAAACTATGCATACATTATATGTTATGGTATTTAGAATCATTACTGTTATGTTAAGCACAATATCAAGTTGTATTGTTACCCTTTTCATGGAGATTTCAATTTAAAGAACACACTGTATTGAAAACAAAACAAAACCAGAAATACAATTATTTATTGATATAAACACGTAGATGTTAAATGTAGTTCTCCTAACAAGTCTTGGTGTACACCTAGTTAGACTGACAAGAAGATCATTTACAGTAGTTACCGTAGACAGCATCGTTGGGGAAAAGCAGACTGTGGACATGGATGTGGACTTAATAATGTAGAGAACGATGAAGGCATAAAGTGACACAATTGTTCATCATAACACAGGGTAACACTCGGCAAGAGGTCACAGGCAACAACCCTTCGATAGTGTGGTCACCGGCCATATATACATGTTCTTCCAGTAATCCAGCACCTTCCTGTAAAATAAATTGTTCAAATCAACTGTTGATTACTTGGTGCATATGTATTGCTTGATTTGTATTTCAGCGTATTTCCATAAATGAACTGTAGTTTTAAGGGCCAAGACATTGTTCATGACAGTTTTAGAAAGGCTAAAAGTGTCACACACCTTATGCTGCAAAGGCCTCATTCCTTATGCTTCTAATTTGGGTGTGCAACAGATGAACAAATAACAACAACAACAACAGGTGTTAAAAAGGAGTCAACACTGTAACATACATAGACAGCAGAGAATCAGAATCACTTACAAAATAGAAGTAAATGTATTTTTTATGTTTTAATCACTTTTAAAAATAGCTTTATCTAGCAATTGTTTTATCTTGGATTGTATACAACTACAACAATACACAGAATAAAGGTCCAAAAATGTTTAAACTGTTAGTGTAGAGGGAGTAACCTGCAGATAAACTGCTGTATCTCACTTTCTTAACTGTGGCTGCTGCTGCTGCTGCTGAGTCGAGGAAATGTGACTACAGTGAGCAAACTCGCTGAGTATACGGGAGCCCTCACAGATTGAATTTATGGGAGCTACCTCGGACTCTTTAAGTGGCAGGAGCAACCTTTTCCAAGTTTAGTGCCCTCCATGTATGGAGAGTAAGTCACGGTGAGAGCAGATGTCACCTCAAGACTCATATAGATCAACCTAACCAAAGCATCCAGTTTAATGTTCTTGGGCTTCCAAGGATTTCACAAATATTCATGCTGTGCAACTGAACATAATATAACTTTAGTAGACAAATATAATACAATAAGAGTTTATTATCATGTATATTTTAAAGGTTGGCCCTTTGATTTGATGATTTCTAACCTGTGAGAATGTGAATGTTGACTTATTGCTTCTCTGCATCTGGAACCGGGATCTCTGTTAAAAACAAAGACATTACATGTTAATACAAATACTGGTAAAGCAAATGCTTCAACTGAAAAGATTTATTTTTGCATCCATTATTGGTTAAAAAATGTTGATGTATGTTTTTCTGATGTTGACTTACGTTTGACCTCCAGCTTGCAGCTGACAATGGCCTCTCCGTGAGTGTTCTTGGCTTTGCAGGTGTACACGCCACCGTCATAGTTACCAGGCTTACGGATCTCCAGAGAACAGATACCCTGGACGCAGATCTGCCTGTACTTGGGGTCCTCTCCAATAATCATCTGGTTCTTCATCCAAATAACCTTGGGCTGTAGAAAAAAAAAACAGACTTATGTGAGCAAAATGTAATTTTTTCAGCTCACAAATGAACAAGCAGCCATGTCGTTTCTAATTATAGTTGTACTACATGGCTGGAAAAAGCATTTTGATTGAAGTGGACACACAGCACACACCCAGTTTGGGAGTTTTAATGGCACTGACATGCTGACGACCGCCTGGGGCCCCATGAGGGAATGTTGACATGTGACCCTGCTGACCTGTCACACACACACCCCCCCCCCCCCCCCCCTCCTCCTCCTCCTCCTGCTGCTGATCATACTCTTCTCCTGCTTTCAGGAGCAATACCTATTCTAGCCCTCTCATCAAGACATCAAGACTCATCTATGCTACTGTGTTGTTGTTGAGCAGGTGGGATTAGGAGCCCAAACAGGAAGCGAGAGGCTCAGACAGAAAAGCTCACAAGGCAAGGATCCCACACATTCTCCACTCCAGCACACTGACAGCGAAGGATGAATGAGTGAGGGAAAATCGCAATACGTCCACTCACCACCTACATAATGGTTATTCAGCTGCTGACAAGTGGCACCGTGGGTGTGAAGGAAACAGTGAGTGCAAGATTGTTCAGAAGTTTGAAATCACAGCTGGGATAAATCACACATTATAAAGTTTTTAGACCACCAGGTATCCAGGCAGTCATTTGTTTTCTATTAATCCCTCCATATAATATAATTAATTACAGCAAGCCTAAGCCCACTTTATTTATATTTGTCGAATTGATTTGGTAACATTGAATTCATAAGCCACGCCTTGGGAATTTTTAAGACAAACAAAGCAAGCAGAGGTAGTATATAAAGAACAATATCAGTTTTTTCAATTTCAAATATAACATTTGTAATAAGGACGTTTCTTTAAATAAGTTGATCAGCAGAGTTCAACGGCTAAATGCTGGTGCTATTGTTGTGTAACTGTAGGTTGATACTGGTCATAAAGAGTGTTACTGTGAACGTACCCTTGGCACTCCCCTGACGGAGCACAGCAGCTTGGTGCTGTAGCCGACGGTGGTGGCTCTGTCGTTCAGAGCCGTGGTGAACTTGGGCGGCTCGGTGAAGTCGCGCTCCTTGTACTCGGGAGGTTTGTAGTCAATACCTGGAGGGAAGGAGGAGAAACAGACATGAAGCATTAAATAAACATGGTCTGCCATTTTTAAACATGCTTATCTCAGGTAGCCCAACAGTTCTTAGAAATATCCAAGCTTCTTCCCCCCCCCATGGTATTTAAAAAAAAACGTCGGTAGCATAATTGCAATAGTGTGCAATGCGTATGTAGAATTACATCCCTGTCAATTATAGATATATTGTTAAATTCTGCTATTATCAATCAAATGTGCATAGGGACCAAACAACAATTATTTGATTAATGTATTGGTGAATTGACAAAAAAACAAACTGGAAAGTTGTTTGATAATCGATTTATAATCGTTTTCTTCACTTTAAAGAACACAAAATCAATCATTTCCAATATTTTCTGATCCAACCTAAAACAATATTTAAAAAATGTGCCCACATCTGAAACTATTTGGCTGAGTTCAAAGCCTACTAGCTATCAGATGAAGCATGTTAATGCAGCATAAGTGGTCCTAAAACTGTCAAAAACTAAATTGGAAGGGTAGTATCAATGACATGATGACTGAAAGTCCCCCATTGGAAAGTCAATGAAAGTGAATAGTAATTTGTGTATCTGCCTTTAATTTGGACCCTCTACAAAATGAGGTTTTTCCCTGGCCTATGCTACACCACATCAAGTTTAATAACAATCAGGCCAACCAAACTGAACACACAACTCCTCAGCAGATGGGATGGGTGAACAATGAAAGAGGAACTTACCAATCTTCACGATTGAGGATTCCTCCTTCGCAACTGTAGCCTCCTCGCTAATTCCACACTTGTTTTCAGAATACACTCTGAACTTGTAGGTGTTGCCCATGATGAGGTCAGAGATGGTGGCATTCAGTCTATGGTAATGTTCCACGACAGTGAACCAGTCCTGTGGACACAGCAAGAGGAAGCATTCACTATCAATAATCACCACTTTATAATGACCTTGCACACACACTGCCAGTAAAAGAGAAAAGTGAACGTACTCCGGTCTTTTTGTCAGACTTCTGGACGGTGTAGCCCGTGATGTCTGTGTTTCCTTTGTCTGTGGGTGCGGTCCATTCCAGAGCAACATTGAAGCCCCAGGTATCAGCAACCTTCACACTGGCGGGGGGGCCTGGCAGCTCTGGGAACAGCCAAAAAGCACGTTTTTTATATTTAATCTCACAAACTAAAACTGATTGGTAACCACGTGGAAAATGCCCTAAAACAGACATATCCGTTATAATTAACTTAAAGCACTGATATTCATAAGCACTTAAAAAAATCATTTTAATAATAATTATAATAACAAATTGTTAAGCATTTTTGAATTACTAATAACAAAGCCTTATAACTGCTTGTCACTTGCATTCATTTATTGTTTTACAAATAATAGTTGCATTTTAGTAAAATATTTGTATAATGCTTTAAAACCAATATTATAATTAGAATGTGTTACTCTGTTAAAAGAAGTTATGAAATTATTGCAATATAGGCAGAATTCATCATTTTTAAGTTGTTTATAAGTCAATTAAAGAGGTCATTATTATTATTATTAATTGAAGTAGCAGCAGTTATGATGTATTATGATATTTGCTCACCAACGATCTGCAGGATGAGCTGAGCCTTGTCCTCGAAGTCGTCCACCTTCACACACATCTCGTACACACCGGAGTCGTCCCTCTCGGACACGCGGATGAACAGGATGCTGTCCCTCTCCGTGCTGCGGATCATCACCCTCTTGGTGTCCAGGGGCAGCCCGTCCTTCATCCAGGAGACCACAGGTTTGGGTTTGCCCTGGTTCAAAATCACAAAGGTTCAGGTCATTCATCTGTACCCGTAGGTAGATTAGGTTTGCAATAAAAAGACAAAGTATCTATAGCAACATGGGGTCGGAAACATCACAGAGAACAAACTAATCTTTAAACAAGAAGCCCAGGCTGCAGTCCATTGAAAACCACTACAACTTCAATTCAAAATCTAATAAATACGTTAAAAAATAATGAAATTAGGAGAAGTGCTTTAGTTTTATTCATGACGCATTTAAAAGAAAAAGCGCACTGATCTTCAGCTTACCGAGAAGGGGATGGTCAGGTTGATCTTCTCTCCAACTTGAGCGACGTATCTCTGCCTGAGGTAGCGCGGCAGGCGGATCTTGGGACGATCTACAAAGAAGAACAATGAATAGTTATTATAGTATCACTGGAGGATCCGTTCAAAAAGACACAATGAGCGTTAGGATCTGTTGAGAGATTTCTGGAGTGAACCAAAAGGACTTATCTTCTTTTGTGACCCACACATCTTAAAGAAATCGATAAACCTACTGAGCCGATCTAAGCCAGGTACTTTTCACTGGTGCCATCAGTGTGTCTCTGTGCTTTCACTGGTTGTAAAAGTAACCCTTTTTTAAAGTTCTTTATCTCTTAAGCTCTGTATCTGTCCACAGGGTGATGCAAACCTGTCATTTTTTATTCGCATGATAAGTTAAAGGTGCGACACAAAATAGAAGACAAGTAAGAATAGATGATATGGAGGTCAATAAAAGGAGAAGCTGCACATAATGTTGAGGACAGGAGTGATGGACAGCGGAATAGTTCACTTTTGTGTATATGTATGTTTTGTATCCTGTGCTTTATTTTGTGCTTTTTTACGTTAAGCGTACTCAAGTTATTTTCGTGTTGGTTTATATTGCAAAAATTAACAAAATAAATACTCTATTATTTTTAAATGCCGTAATTCTTTTTTTTTTATATTCACTATTCTTCAGTTGTTTTTTCCTTCTCAGTTTAGTGTAATGCAGTGGTTCTCAACTGGTCAGGCCTCGGGACCCACCTTTTCCTTTGACAATAAATCGCGACCCAAAATTTGAACCACTCAAATCTATTCAACAAAAAATCGTGCTGTAATATATACGCTTTGCAGGATACAATATTAATGAAAGTGAAGTACAGTGCATATATCCCTTCACAGAACTAAAATATGCTTTTAAAAAAGGTTTAATGAGATGATGGAATCAAAGCTGAACTGTATAACATAAAAAGGCACACATGCTGAAAACCCAACCCCAGAAGGGGATTGTCCCCCAGGAGGTTTTTAGAAATACCAACATATAAACTACGCATTCTGGTACACTCTGAGAAGAAAATTAATAAATCTATTAATACCCGACATATTAATAATATGTAATGCCATTGTTTGTTTTTCACTTTGTTCTGACAGCTGAACTTGTCTGTGTGAATTGTGGGTAGGGTAGATATCCCCCATTGTACTGTGACCTGTCAATCATCAAACCGGGGGTCATATTTCAAGTGTTCATTTTTATCTGAAGTTGTACCGATGGATGTATAAAGGACTTCCGGTAACAATCTTGATTGTGATTGGCCAGAAGACTCGAAAAAAAATCAAAAAAGATGTTTTATTGAGAAGATGATCACTACGTGACAGAAGTTTTTTAAACCGGTTATGGTCCCCTGTACTTCCAGTCCAACGCCTACTGCATGCACAGCGTTAGAAAATCGGGCCTTCGAAATAAAAGTTTTACTTTTTTCCCAAAAAAAGAAAATATATGTTTTTTTTCTTCACTCACACATCTGTGACCCACTCGGAACGGGTCCGCGACACTGGTGTAATGTGTTGTCCTATATGCAAGATAACATGTAGAATTGCCAAAAAGTTGATCTAACAAAGTACATTGAATGTAAGAGGTGTAAATCTTCAGGTTGGGAATTAAAATAATTTCAAATATAAAAATGTAAGATAATATCAAAGATGTGATCTACCCTGGTGGCTCATCTCTATGTATCATCCTGTATTAAGCCCATTAAATCATCATAAAATGAAAATCATGAGGATAGTTAGCCAGAGTGACACTTGAAATGATTCCAAAGCCCCCCCGACTCATTTGTAAAAGTGATTTGGTGAGAAGCACCACCTGCTGAGTCCAGCATAGCAACATTTGTCCAGACTCTAAATAAAGAAAGCACTCTGGAGTATATCACCTCGCCTCATGACGCACCATCGGGTACTTCAGTTACTCATATGAGAATTCATTAAAATCTGAACATAATTAAGCAGGAAAGCTACTGATGTGTGAACATATCCTGGATCATAAATGATTTGGTTTAAAAAAGTAAAAGAGAGTGATGTGAAGCTAAAATGGCCATGCATATTAGAGCATGGAGTATACGGCATATTAGGAGTCTTATCACTTCATTAAGAGAGGCTTAACCTTAATGAACATTCTCCCTGTAAAGTCCGTGGCATGTTTTTAAAATAAACAGTGAATCTCTGGAGGTGTCATGAGATTTGGGTGTCACCTGAGAAGTGAGCTCCAAGTGAACCACCCCCCACCCACTGGAATTTAGCATCCCCCCCACCTGCTCGCGTCTCAGATCATTTGTCAGACCTGGCGGTGCAGCCTGACACGCCATCAGAGTCCTAACAGGGATCACAATGCAATGCCAAGCCCTTGTTACACAAACATCTGTGTTAATAAGCAGCGACATCCCAGCTATTCTTTTACAAAGCTTTGTGGTAATTTTGTCAGAAATCTTTCACGAGTTGTTGCAATACGTGGTGGCCCCCCAGTGAACATGGACTTTTGAAATATTGCCAGTCCGGCGGGATCATGTTTCTGTCCCTCCCTGCTCGGCTCTCCATTACCCATAAGGATGATTTGGGAGTGAGCCAAACTAAGGCAGCTCGTATTTTTAAAGCCCCCTGGGTCCCATCATCATTTTTACCACAAATCATTTTAGATATAACATCTATAATTAACACTTTGAAGTGTAGGGCTTTAGTAAAACCTCTCTACTTTACGAGTAAGTAGTTATGGTTGTGGTTAGTAGGATCAGTGTGTCTAGTCAAAGTGGAAACGTGAGAGAAGGCCACAGTTTTATTCCGTTAACCCTGCAGGTATGTACCAGCAGGACACGCACAGCTGAGAGAACACATAGCTGAGCTGCTTCAGTTTGACTACTGCACTTTATAGCCCCTCTCCCCCTGATAAAATGCCTGGGTCAAATAGTTTGTGTCTTATGCATTTAACTCTACAGAAGTAATAGACTATGCAGCGTGAGAAAGAAAGCTTAATCCCATAAGATTACATGGAAATGATCATGTCTCTTAATGTAATAACCCTATTAACATTTTGAATACCCATTTATTGGACTTCAAAAATATAACTGTTTGTGATTCGATAGTGTAGACGTTAGGATCCAGACTCATGACGTGCATGAGGCAAACATCTTGAGAGTAACATTTGAAGAAAAAAAAATCGTAGAGAAATGGCCTAAAAACTACTTTTAAAGTAACATTTTATATTTAGAACCTTTCATTTTTGCTTTATTTTATATATAGCAGTTGATTGCATTTGTGCATATACAATGCAATCAAACGTATTATCTGGGAAGATTTAGGAAGCTGTGGATTCCTGTACAGTATATATATAGTAAGTGTTTATATTGCAAGTAAAGTATTTGTATTTAAAAAAAATGTCTTTAAGCTTATTTTTTGATATAATAAATCTGTTCTGATGTGACACTTTAACATAGGACATGCTTTTGGTCATACAGATGTAAATAACAGAGTAAGAAGTCATTGTTTGCACTGAAACATTCACTCTGTTAGCACCACATTTTGAGATGTCTTTGTGAACACTTCTTACCAGCGACCTCCTTCACCAGCACGGCCTCGGGGAGGGAGAGGGAGGGGCTGCGGCCGCCGGCGTTCAGGGCCACCACACGGATCTTCAGACGGTCCCCGGTGGTCTGGTTCTTGATAACGTAGCGGCAGGACTTCTGCAGATCCTCATTGACAGCTTTCCAGTCCTCAGCTGAATGTAAAGATAACACAAAACAAGCACACACTTACAGAGCTGCTGTATATCTCCTTATAACGGGAATTACACTGTTATCAGAAAGTGTGCCGACTGTTTAAACTGCAGGCAGCTTTGTAATTGATAGAGGGATTGTGCTCGACACAAATGGTCTTATATTATTAGACATGAAATTGGTGTTCTCTGCGTAAACAGAGTGCGCAGCTAAATCAAGCTTGCATTGAAGGGCTGCTGATATGACCCTAGTGCTGTAAGTCTAAAAACAGGAGCCTCAGCAGCTCCTGACATGCCTCCTTCCTTGTATGGAGAAGTTAGGAAGCTCGAGATGTATCTCTGCGACTGACACTTCTGTGACAGCTGCAACCGATACGGCTGGCCCGCGTTAAAACAGCAATTTAACATGTTCCTCAATGTGTGTTTAAAAAGTACTGAAATAGTATACATGTAATTGTAGATATTTGTAGGATAATGATAGTAAGGAATAAATACATTTGCTGTGCATATAAAAGCTTTCTGCAGAATTTAAAAGGTCAGCTGACTGACATTTTTGTCACAGGGTATTAATAATCCGACCCCTTTTGGGCAGATGTAACTATTCAGTCAAAAGCAGGACTTACTTCCGTCCTTGCAGACTTCAATGGTGTATCCGTCCAGGCCAGAGTCTCCGATCACCTCGGGCTGGCTCCACATGATAGTGACTGTAGTGTCATTCTTGTCCTCAATAAACAGATCCAGAGGGATGCTTGTGGGCTCTGCAAACCGAAAAACAATCAATTATTCAACTGACATTTGCAGAAATGCATAAAATCATTCACAAATCGAAGTTGAGATCCATAAGAAGGGCTCATTCAGTTATTTACTTTCACACTGTGATAAACAAAGAAGATGTGATTGAAATGGAATCACACCGAGTCTCTTTTCTGTGTAGATTTTTACCTGGAGGAGGGGGAGGTGTTTCGGGTCTAACCTCTTCTGCAGGCGCTTCAGCAGCTTCAGCTAATGTTAGATAGGCATTTACATTATTATTGGCATTATGTAATAAGCAGAGCTCAGCTTCAGCATCAAATAAAGTCCAGTTATGTTACTCGTAGCTCTCTGCTTTACAATGCTAGCAACCAAATAGAGAAACAAGCTTTTTCTCTTAGTGAGGAGTGAGCAGGAAAATGTTCTGTTTTACCCTCAGCAGGTGCCTCGGCGTCAGCAGCGGGAGCACCTTCTTCTGCGGCAGGAGCGGCAGCAGCTATTATTAAAAGTTAGATATTAATACTGAGTGCATTAAGCAGATGGGACATGTTGTAACAGATGATAATGTATGTGTCTGTGCATCAGAGTGTCGTGAAGAAGTCAGTTAGTGCGGTTAGCCTTAACGTAAGAGGTTGAAGATTTGAATAATTCAAGATGTTTGTTGTGCCTCATGTCATTTTTTTACCATCAGCAGGGGCCTCAGCGGGGGCGGCGGCTTCCTCTGCAGCGGGCGCCGCAGCTAATATTAGAGGTTAGAGGATATCAGTATTAGATATTAGTGAAGTTAGCTTTTCTGTTAGAGGTGGACAGATCAGGATTCATAAACGTATATAAAAGATGTCAGCTGTTTCACTCTTTGCTTTACCATCGGCGGGGGCCTCAGCGGGGGCTGCTGCTTTGTCTGTAGCGGGCGCCGCAGCTGATAGTACAGGTTAGAGGAACATTAGTTATTAGTTTCATTGTTGGAGGTTCAAGATTAAATACCTATATCTGTGTTATTAAACTGCTGTTACCCTCAACCGGGACCTCGGCGGCAGCAGCTGGAGCTTCTTCAGCGGCTGATATCAAACGTTAGAAGATATCAGTATTAGATATTAGTGAAGTTAGCTTTTCTGTTGGAGGTGGACAGATCAGGATTCATAAACTTATATAAAAGATGTCAGCTATTTCACTCTTTGCTTTACCATCGGCGGGGTCCTCAGAGGCGGCTGCTGCTTTGTCTGTAGCGGGCGCCGCAGCTGATAGTACAGGTTAGAGGAGCATTAGTTATTAGTTTCATTGTTGGAGGTTCAAGGTTAAATACCTATATCTGTGTTATTAAACTGCTGTTACCCTCAACCGGGACCTCGGCGGCAGCAGCTGGAGCTTCTTCAGCGGCTGATATCAAACGTTAGAAGATATCAGTGTTAGATATTAGTGTACTTCACCGCTACTGTAGGAGCTTCATGGCTTAATACATATATAAGATCTGCGTTAATACACTGATCTTATATAGTGTGCTTTACCATCAGCAGGGGCCTCAGCAGCTGCTGGTGCTTCCTCTGCAGCGGGCGCAGCAGCTGTTATTAAAGGTTAGAGGTGCATTAGTTATTAGTGAAGTAAGGTTAAACGTTTAATACTTATTTAAGATATGTGTTAATAAACTTTTAGCCTCAGCGGCGGCTGGTTCCTCTGTAGCAGGCGCTGCAGAGGTTAGCAGATATTAGCATTAGACATTAGTGAAGTTAGCTTTACCACAAGGGGTTTATGTTTTTATAAATATGCATTATAGTTGTTAATACACTGATTTTCTATCAGCAAGGGCCGTTTCCTAAAGCAGCAGCTGGTATTAAAGGTTAGAATTCATAAACATTCAATATAAGTACAGTTAGATTTTACTCCTGGAGGTTCAAGTTTTAACACTTTTACAGATACAGATCAGCAGGGGCCTCACCAGGGTCAGCGGCTGGTTCTTCTGCAGCGGGCGGAGCAGCTGATATTAGGGGTTAGAGGATATCAGTAGACATATAACGTTTTGAAAATATGAAAGGACATTTTCAAAATGTTATGAAAGAGGTTATATCTATGAAAATAAAAAGGAGACGTTAAAACAAGCAGATATTGTTGGTGGTAACTGAGATCTCAGGGTTACCATCGGCGGCTGGCTGATCTGCAGCAACAGGAGCTCATGTGTGAGAGCAGCACATATTAGAGGTTACATTTGAGAAACAGTAGTCACTTTTCTTTAATGTGAGGTGTGTTGATAATATGCATTATACATCAGTTCTGGAAAGTGAGCACAGCAGCCAGTGCCTCCACCTTGACCACTCTTTTCTTTAATTTGGAATGTAGGCCTATGTTTGTCCGGCATCAAGATGGAGCTTTCACTGAGGTATAACACCGCACATTGACAACAACCTCCCAAGTTAATACAAGTTCACATTGGTTTTGCAAAAGTTGAGCAAAGCGCACCTTAAGCGCAAAAATCGTATGACTTTCAGTAACTTGAGAAAAAGTGATGTGAAGCAGGCAGTTTATGCAGTTAACCATGCTTTTCCCTTTAATGTCGATGGCTACGACTCCTTACCCTGCCATGATACAACTTTACACTTACTGAGCACAAACGCGTGTGCTCAAAGATAACCGCGTGTTTACCGTGAGGTGAACCGAATACCTTGGCTTTATTTGAAACTTTAAACAACTAGTGCAGTGTTTTCTCCACCGAAAAAGTAAATAGTAATTTAATGTATTAATTGTAAGTCATGGATCACGCGCTGCGCTCGGTGCATTACCTTCTGCGGGTGGAGGGGTGGGGGGTTTGGGCTCCTCAGCTGGCGGAGCAGCGGCGGCCTCAGCAGGTGCAGCCTCGCCCTCAGCAGGGGCCGGGGCGGCTTCGGCCGGTGCAGCCTCCGCTGGGGCTGCTTCTGCTGGGGCGGCCTCGGCGGCAGCGGGCTCTGCAGCCTCCGCCTTCTTGGCTGGCTTCGCCGCCTTCTTGATCGGGGCAGGCTTGGACGGCATTGTGGCGTTTGCTGCTAATTCCCAACTCCGTTAAGTCCTCCAAACTGGATCCAATGCCGACATTTGTGCAAAGGTGGCGAGCTTATAAAGGACCCGAAAGGGTCGAAGCCCCGCCCCCTGATGAATTACATGTAACAGATGAGTGTGAGTCAGACCCCCCTGACTGTTTGTCTCTCTCATTAACGCTCACTGTGCTGAGCTAACTGTTGGCCTACTTAAAGGAAACATATACGAACACATAAACACAATTAAAGAAATATACGGATCACTCAAACATGAATTACTGAATTGCATCGTGCTTTTCCGTGGCATTTATAATCATGATGTATCTGGTATAATGCTTATGATTACTAAAAACAAATTAGTTATATTACATACATATTAAAAAATGTATTGTTTTTTTTTAACTTTTATAACAATCAGTATAGTGCCTTCATCATCCCTAAAGTAAATGCAATATTATTTGTATATCTCCCATTACCAAGTTAATACTGTCAAACTGACACACAGGAAGCAACAGGTAAATATAACATGTATTTTATTGATTCCAACGACCAGTGATAGGTGGATGAAAGCCTTCAGAAACATGCCTTATTCATGTTTTGGACCCAACTCTGAAGGAATAAACATTTTTCTCAAGGATGCTTTTTTGTTTGTTTCCCCTCCTCAATGATTGTTGCCGCATCCAGAATGCTGCCCTATTTACAATCTTTACAATGATGCCCTGTACAAAATAGAGAAATTAAGTTTTACAAAGGATTCTTTAGAAAAAGAAGGAAAGAAATATCAAATATTTTGAGTATTACAAAGGAAAACATTATCTAGCATGAATTTCCTAAACAATAGCCTACATTATTGTTAACTTTTTTTTCTCATCACACAGCAAGTTTACATGCATTTACAACACTTAGGAATCCTAGACATTTCCACGTCAGTGACATTAGATACTGCATACATTTTTTTTTTTTATCTTAGTCCACAACAAGCTTTTGCAAAAATATGACTATTCAGCAACCTGTGTTGGCCTTCTGGTCTGATTCTACATAAAATTAACTATTCAAACAGTGAAGTGCTGATTTCAGTCTCATAATTCGATTTTTAAACCTTTTTGTTTCATTGTTTATCGTCATTTGACCATTTATAAGTCCAGTTATGACACTTTTGTTGCCCTTCATCAAGGACAAAACACACATCACAGCTTCCAAACTGCTTAATTTCTATACGTACATCTACCCTGTTTTCAATGCAACGCCAAACCATCATCCTCTCTTTAAGGCTCCTGCTTAATACAAGCTTTCACTTTTGTCCTGTGGTGCAATTTGGTCTAAATGAAAACTCAAAGACAGACCTGAAGTTGCTGCATAGTCCTCCTGATACATTAGTAAGCGAACACAATTAACAGCTACTACAGAGCAACAGGCACAACAACAAGTGAATGAGATGAGAAGCTTGAGCTGATGGCTTTAGGAACCTGCAGAAACAGACCAGGGCTGGTTATGTCTAACACCTGAAATATTTACAGTAACTGACATTAGTCCCATGTGACCAGTTTGAGGATCACTGTCCATTTGGCATCTTTTCGCTCCTTGTCCTTACTTCATTCATTTCTTTTGAGACCAATCAGAGGTGCAGATTAGCTTGAAGTTTTGTTATCAGCCTAACTGTGCAAGAATAAAGCAAAAAGCAGCTCAGATAGCATTTAAAATGTTTAACTTTCTTATTGAGCTGTCATAAAAGTGGTCTGACATTCATTTACAGGATTTATGTACATGTGAAGTTAAGTCTGAGCACCTAAAATGAAATGAACAGGTGAAATGTGTTGACAACACTTGCACAACTACTGTCTGCCATTACTCCATTAGGGCTTATCTTTTACATACAAAATCTACACAAAGTACCTTAAAAAGTGTTTAAATCTTTTCCTTTTGGCCTTGGAACAACTACTCTCCAGTTTCACTTTGACACCAACATGGATGTACCATACAATGTCACACATGACTTGACTATCTCTACTTAATGTCTTCAACATATCCAAATGATGTTCAAGGTCTTTTTCACATGACCTAATTGTTTGAAAGTTCTACTGTAGGACACACAACACTTTTTTAACCTACCCTGAAAAGTCTATGTGATCTTTATTCAACACTAAAGCAATTTGGGACGTTGTTCAAGAGCACCATATGTAACTTAATGATGATAATGACATTACATCTGAAAATGGGCCTTGGTAGCTTTAAAGTCACTCTACTCAGACATGGTGTTGCAGTGGAGCTTTGTGATAAGGCTTCTTTTAAAAGCACCTAAAAGATGATTGATGATGTTCAATTTGTATACGTGTTTTCTCTACATTCAGAGTTGAACTTAAACCACTACCATGACAGTCGAGAAGCATGGTTAAAGAACAGTATTTGGTTCAGTATACTACTGTAGATAAATAGCTGTGATGTAGCCTGATTGTATTTACATCATATATACACTAGCTACTCTGAATATGGGGGAACAGATTTGAAACAAATGTACTCTTTCCTATAAAAAAAATCTGGTTTAAATTCAAATAGTTTTTGCTAAATCTGTTTAATCAAAGAGTGTGTGTTGTGTTATCCCTGTGTAATAAGTATCTAATACCTGATATACATGGCAACATTGGTGACACTTCGTAAAGCTAAATGAAGTGCTTGAAAAATATAGTATGGTACTGCGCAGCGACAAAACTCACATCACTAATAAATAGGTTTGTTTTAAGCAAAAAGAGTATGACAGCAAGTATATTTAAAAAAAACATAAAGCCATTTAACTGATAAAGAAGATGTTAAACTACGTGAAAAAAGTATACTAATAATTGATCCTATAATGTCTTTTTGTCATTTTATATTGTAAAAAAAGATGATGATGTAGAAAGTTGAAGAAATAACTGATTCCTGACCTTTTTAGCTGGGATGATATCTTATAAAAGCACCGGTATCCTCTGCTGAAATTGAGGTGACGTCTTTGTTGTTAAGGCATTGTAACCGATTCACCTGCTCTGGTTGCTAAGTTAACATTGCATATGTATACGATTGTGGCCTTCAAAGACTCATACAGTAGATATGTACCAGATAACTGTGCAATAAATAGTAGCATCTATCATGCTGTCATACTCTTTTCCAAAATGAGTCACCATGATTGAGGATATCTCCTGTTGACAAACACTACATATCCCATGATGCATGTATGCTGTTGCAGAAATCACCTAAAGTCTAGAGACAATTAGTGATCTATTAGCACCTAAGGGTAATGAGTGCTAATGTGTTGGTAAAGGGAACTAAAGTGAATGTCATCCAGTCAAATACACTAAAGGAATACAATATAGTGTTTCATTCAATAAGTATGAACAGTCGTTTGAAAATACTGTATGTAATAAAAGGATTTGGAATTTTCCAGTTATACTTTCAACCTACTGTGGGAATGACTTTTCTGTGGGATTGTTTGTTCCTGAACGTGCACAGTGGACACAACAACAAAAAAACCTGTACATTTGAAGTGCTGAGTGAAAACTTTGTGTTCAAAGTTTAGGCAGACTAGGGTCTTCTTTGTCTGGGGACTCAATGTAATTGGCGGCCTCTTGAAGTTTCAAAAGCATTGCCATCTATAACAAAAAAGAGAGGGTGAAGAAATCAGTAATACTTAAGGATTCATTGCAGTGGTGTTGATCAAAGCTGCAGGGCTGTACCATTGTCTCCATTTTTACATTCCAAGTTATAATTGAGGTTTATCCATGGAAGATTTGTCATATGTTTCTTTGTTATAACACTAAAATACAAAACAATTTATCAAACAAAACCTTCAATCTGAAAAAAATAATTAATCCGATTAGATTAGATGTAGTAAATTACATTTTCTTCCTCCCTTAATGTGCGGCAAGCCAGAGATGGAAGTTTTTGACCCCATTGAAAATGTTATTTTCAAGGCTCAACACCAATTCATATGAAATTAGGTTGAACAAATACAACTATTCTAATAACATCAGTGTATTCTAATCTTTATCAGCATGTGTGCAGAAATACAGTGTGAACAGAATAAAAGTTTTAAAAAGAAGCGCAGTTTTTAAATGTTGGTTTGGAATTCAATATCAATAAAGCTTGGGAGCTAAGTATTATTTGGTACAGCCCACAAAGCCCTTCAAATCTGACAGAAAGGAGTTGCTCTCTCACCAGTGGATCAGATTCCATGGAGCTGGGTGGAGTCTCCTTGTGAGGCCTCTCCTCGCAGGGCTGCCCGGGGCTGCTGGAGCCGATGCTGGGGGGGGGGCAAGTGGAACAGCTTGGCCTGGTCCTGCTGAGCAGACGGCCAAGGCAGCGTGCCCCTCACCCACTCCACCGGGTCCTCCCATACCGCTTTCTGCCCGTGGACCTGCAGCGTCACAACATACCATGACGGTATAATTAGAGCGCAACATTTCCTATGAAAGGGGAGCCATCAGCAATTCGTAGAGAAGAATCTGATGCGTGCCCAAGACCGTTTTCTTGATCTGTGGTTTCTCACCTTGATGCCGTCCTTGGCCCCCTCTTGCAGGTAAGGAATAATAGAGTGGTTCCAAAGGTCAATGAACCACGATCGAAACTCATCAACCGTGACAGGACACGACAGGAAGAAGCAGGGGCCTGAGGAGACACAGGAAGAGAAAGAAGAACACTATAAGACAAACTATTCTACATGATTTATACAAAAACGCTTCCCTCCAAAATTGAAATGCAGCTCCTTTCAGCCCTGCCCTGTCCTGATAAGAGTGAATGTCATACCGATAAGGAAGTCGGACGTGCTGTGCTTCTCCAGGAAGGCGTGCAGGTGATACCACAGTTTGGGCACCCAGTCCAACACCCTGATCAGGTCCTCGTTGGTCAAGTTCTTCTCATCCTCCGACTCCATCAGCTTCCTGTGCAGATAGCGCACCAGGAAGCCATTGGCCGGCTCCACGTTGTTGGAGAAGGTCACCATCCTAAGATGCAAAACAAGTCACGGAAAAGTCAAAATACAGACCAACAACTCTGTCCATCCATAGTCTACTTCTTTAGCCACATATGAGATCATCTATGC